TCCCCGGAGCGAGGGGCTCGTCCTCGAGCCTGCCAGGTCTGGATGGATGGGCAGGGACCCGGCCGGGGACTCCGGAGGGAGCAGCGTTTTAAAAACATATTGTCTCCGCTAATGAAAGCAAAGAATTTAATATCCGGTCTGTCGGATCCGACATCCCAGCTGAAAGCGGCTTCATTTGGCAGCATTAAATGAGGGAGTGCTCCAGCGGGCAGAGGATTAGGAGGCACGGTGCTGGAGCTGGCCACTATTTTCATAATTTAAGCGCCATTTCCCTGCCTTGAGTGACCTTGAAAGATCCCTTTGCTTCGCAGGGATGCGCTCCCTTGATGGTAGGAGCCAGCACAGCAGAACTGATGTGATGCTTCGTAACGGAGGGGAGGGGGGGGTGTGTCAGTCTTTTGCAGCAGGGGAAACTGAGGCAAGAACCGGTGGCGATTACGGATGCAGTTCATCACATCCCTTAGCCGTGTTGGTCCAGGAGGGACCGGCGAGGTTTGGGCACGGGAAATGGGGATGGCTTTACACCGCAGCCGGGATGCCCGGCCGCAACGTTGCGCTGGTCTTGGGATGGCGAAGGCTGCCAGCACCCGGCGCTGCCAAGCAGGATTAAGTCCTGGCACAACGTTCCCGGGATCCGGCTGTGCCCTTGGATTCGGCGGCACTGGCAGGAGGGGGGGGAATGGTGGGCACGCAGCTCTAACGGGCGGCTTTAGCGCCAGCCATCTGCATGGCAGCAATGCGGCCGAAGGACGAAAGCACATTGCTGGTGTAGCCCAGCTGGAGAAAGCCAAGGCTCTGGAAAAAAAAGTCTGTGTACGATGCTGGAGCATCCCGCGCCTGTGCCGGCATCCGTGAGCACGGTGCTGGCTTGCGGCTGCACACTCGGACCTTTCTGGTCTCTTTTGTCATGGGTTTCCCCTCTTCCCTCCTCTCCCCTGCTGCCTCTGCATTCGTAATCCCCATTAATAGTGGTAACGGAGTTAACTTCTGTTAACTTTCCTTAGCTCTGTCGTGTTTACCCAGCGATGGCAAAGAGAGGAAGGCAAGCTAACGAGTGTCCTGCCGCCCACTAATTACAGGTGCGAGATCGCATCGGGGCTAAGCCGCCGCCCAAACCTTTATTAAGGTTGCGTTAATGACCGGCTGTAAGGCGGGGATTGGAAACGAAGTGATGCCATGGCGCTTTATGGACCGCGCTCTTCGCTTGCGCGGGGGCTCGGTGCCCTCTGACGGCACATGGGCTCACTGCAAGCCCCGGGGGTGGGTGTGGGGACCACGGTCGCAGCCCCCAAATCCACGGGGTGCAGCCGAATCCACAGCAGCCCGCCAGCCCCAGGGAAAGGCAGGGTCCCCACGGGGCTCGAGGAGCGTCCCGGTGCCTGGACCGCTCCAATCATCATTGCGAAAGGCGCCATAAAATGGCTTAAAATAACCCATCGAACCCAACTTATTAATTCTAGGGAGGTTTTGCCACCAGCGGGACTGTCCCCTTGGTTCTCGCCCGCTCTTGTCGCCTCTCCATCTCCGGCCCTGACCACCTGGGTCACCCACGCCGAAAAACCAGCCGAGTCCAAGGAGGAGAAGCGGTTTCTCCTTTTCTTTCCGAGCCAGGACCTGTGAAACCCTCTCAATGGGTTTACTACGGCTGCATGCATCCCCATCCCATGCCTTCGCGGCGATGCTTTAGGGGATTTAGGGTGCCAAAAAAAAGAAAACCACAAAAAAAAAAACCCACAAAACCCTCTAAGTACCATTTTAGCTGCACTGAATTTAATCCTTGGTGACACTTGTATTTACCCTGCTAAATCAATGGCTGGGGGGGGGGGTTTTTTTTTTTTTTTAGGAAAACTCAGGTACTTTAATTTATTGCATTTAATAGCCATATCAAAGGCTTTCAGGAGATGAATAGAAAGTGCTGCAGGGTGAATTTCCACAACCACTTACCGTTTTAAAAAGGAGAAGAGAAGTTGGGCAATAAAAGGGAATTTTTGCGCTGATTTGGGGCTGTGATCAGGGTGACTGCGAGCCCAGCGCCGGGGCAGAGAAGCCGGGCTGGAGGCGCACGATCAATACGGGGAAAAGATAAAAAAAGGCAGCCGAGAAATTGATTGATAATTATTCCACTTCTGCACAGCCCCACCTTGCTGAAGGAAGGGTAATTAAAGCCGTGGTCTAATTAATGTGTACCTTGCCCCCCCCCCCCCCGATCGCAGTCAGCCTTCAAAGGAAAATTAATGAGGCAGAGAGAGATGGGTGAAGGCAGCGTGTCGAGGCGGCAGCATCCATCTCCAGGGGTCTGCGAAGGAGCAGCGGGAGCAAAAATTGACTCAAATCAAATCAAAAGGAGCTTCTCCAGCTCGTCCATCCCCTCCTGACCCGCTGGGCAGGCACAAGTCCCAGC